CTGGCATGGTGGCTGACATATTGTTGCTCCACAGGCCCTGGGGAGCCTGCCGGTCCTCTTCCAGCCAGGGCAGCAGGCGGAGCGAAGCCCGGTGGAGGCCAGCCCAGGGCTGGGGCGGTAGGCAGTCCTGTAGATGGTGCGGTGGGTGCCGCAGGCTTGGTGCCGTCACAGATGGTGAGGGAGGGTTGGTACATCTGCTGCACGAAAGACTCAACTCGGGGCCCCTGGGAGCCCCGATTGCGCACACCCTGCGGCCAGGCCGGTAGACGTGCTCAGTGCCATCCACTGCCAGCGCCGGAACCACACCAGAAGTAGTTCCCGGGACTCACACATGGCCCGTGTGTGCGGGTGAGGATGGCCTTGTCCTCAGCACGGCCACCCGAGCTGGGAGCACACTGAGACAGGGTTTTTAATGAAATGAGATCAAGCACTGGCACATAGTAGGTGTTCCAGCAATGACGAACGAATGAAGACACAGTCGTCTTAGCAACTGGCAGGGCCTCCTGAGAATTTCGCGTCTGAGTTGATACAGGGCTCGTACTTCCAGATCCTGGTTTCCTTCCCTGCTCCTTCCTCTGTCCCCACCACCATCATCATCTTTAGCAGCAACAACAGCTGCTGGTCGTATGGCAAGTTACAGAAGTTCTATGACTTGGTCTCATGTAAATCCCACAATGGTCCTGAGGTCTGTATTATAATTCCCATTCCACAGATGGAACCTAGGCTTAGAGAGGGTGTATGACTTGCCCGAGGGCACAGAGATCTGAGACGTGAGGGCACTGCTTTTGGCCTTCCTTAGATGAATTGATTTAACATGTACTCAGCAGCCACCATGTGCATGGTTAAGTGCCGACACGATGACAATTTCTTTTGCGGGGAGCGATCGGCTGGAGAGCAGGTCCAGTCCACTTTTTCTATCTCTGTGACTTTGGGCAAGTCCCTTCACTTCTCTGGGCCTTAATTTCTTCATCTGTAAAATGGGCACTATGATGACAGTCTCATAGGAAAGAGTATGACCCTCTCACGCAATCACTGCGGGGAAAACAGAGACAATGTATTTACGTAGCATAGTGGCTGGCACAAGCAAGCACTCAGTAAATTGTAGCGCGTTCTTCGTTGTCACCTAGATGTCAGCCAGGGGCCTCCTGACCCCTTGATACCTTCACAGGATGAGCCCAAGTAACCACTACAAAGCCCTCTCCAAGATTACTGCAAATTCCTGGGTGATTTGATTTCTCCAGATCCAGCTCTGGCTTCAGCCTATACTCTCTTTGGTCAACACTATACCAAAATAGATGTAAAACTTGGCCCCTTCTACTAGTTCCACAAACACCCCAGTCAAGGCAGCCTCAGTGAGTATTGGAGACTTTTTTTTTTTAAAGGTTTCCAGGTATGGGAGACAGAGAAGCGGATCACATCATAGCTACAAAAAAAACCTCATGGTGAACTAAGAGTAACCTGGTTCCCAAGATGGCCTCAGCCTGCTCTTCTGCTTCCCTCCCCATTGTCCTCAGACCCTCAGCCTTGGGACAGTTGCCATAGTTTGGCTATTGTTTCCAATTCTCTCTTCCTAAGGAGCTCTCCAATTTCCATTCCAGGCATTATCCCACTGTGTGAAGCCTTAGAGGTTGGGGGTGGGGGGCGGGGTGGTGGTGGTGTGCTTCCCCTCCTATCTCCCCCTCACCCACCCACCCCACCCCCACAAGTGAAACTCTGCAGAGTGCTTCTCAGGCCTTCAGGAAGTCCCCACAAGGATGAGAAGAAATGTTTGCTATCATTCACAGTAGTTGATGCTGGTGGGTGGGTGACCCTGCCTGGCTGCTGGCTGCCACAGGGCTCTCCCATACTCCCCACCCTTGGTTCCTGCCCATTTCCCAAACCCAGTCCTCCAGTTTCCGGTAGATTCTCTTGGGCGCTCGATAGCTTAAAACATCCCGTGTCGTTTTAGGAACAAATTCAAATCCTAGTCCACTTCCTTGTTGCCTCCACAGCAGCTGCCTCTCAGAGCTTCAAGAGCAAACCTTCACTCTCAACAGTTTTTCAAAGTATTTTTCCAACAAAAGCCATTCTCTTCCCTAGGACAGGAAGTCACGCGCTGAGGATCTACAAGCCGTATCTGGTCCACAGGGATTTTTTTTTTTAAATCAAATGAACATTTAAAAATTGAGAGATTACACATGAAAATCTGGATTTGTGCCTTTTCTTGTAAACTCATAATATCTGGCATCATAGGACTCACATTTCCCCCCAAGGAGCATGTTGGCCTGAATGGAGAGCAGGGTTCCTACCCTTTAGACAGGTTTTTCTTATGCTCTCACCCACTGGCCTTATTTCTCCTGCTTGATCCCTGTAGGCTTTCTTTGTGACCTTTGCTAAAGGGCATTTCGGGACCGGTTTCCGCCCTCCACTGCATTATTGCAATCAGATTGGGTCCACGAATTTGCTGGGTTCGCAAAGGGCACCGTAGGCAGAAGATACAGCAACAGTGGTCACTTAAGCACGCGAGCGGTGACTGTTCCTGGAAGGGCAAAGGGTCCGGAGGGACTGGGTCTCTGGTGCGAGGGGGCGGTGGGGCTGGAAAGGGTTAACCTGGGGCTTGGTTCTGAAGGGCCTTAACGCTCTCTTACAGGACACTGGGAGCCAGTGCGGGGTTGAAAGCAGGGCCACAGCATGAGGTGTGCGTATGACAAAAGAAGCTGGGAAGCTCGTGGGCAGGATGGATTGAAACCCCTCCATCCCCCCGCCCCCCGCCCCGCTATCCCCGCAGCAAGCCCAGCGAGAAGCTGAGGCAGTGGTCCAGGAGGGCCAGGGATGCTGCGGCCAGGCTCGTGGCAGCGGCGGTGGGAACGGTTCGGAGGATGGCAAGGGAGGGAGTCCAGAGACTGGGCTGCCCAGGAATGGATACGCTTGACCTTGACGGAAGACACTGCGGGCGCTGCGGCGGCAAAGCGCTCGCCTCCCCCCTTTCCCCACCCCCGCGCCGCAGCAGACTGCGGCGGAATCCCGGCCCTCGCCTCTGCGCCCTCCCGCGCCGCTGCGGTACGCGAGGGGCGGGGGCGGCAGGGTGGCGGGGATGCCCGTCTTCCCTGGAAGGCCGGAGAAGGGGGTGGGGAAGGAGGTGGGGGGGGGCGGGGAAGGAGGCCGGTCACGTGGCGCCGCCACCAGGCGCAGCCGGATTGGCGGTCCCGCAGCCGATCCTGCCCGGCTGCTCGGGTTTCCAGGCAAGCAGCAGCCCCTCCCGCGTTCCCGCTTGCAGGGGGTGCTCTGGCCCAGCGCAGAACAGGGTAGGGCGGGGGCCGCACTCTCCCTGCCCTGTTAAACGCTGCCAGGTCCCTGGCTTCGCGCCGGGATCCTCACTGCAGCTTGGGAGGTCTGATTATTGTCTCCGTGAACACATCCCTTCTCTGCTTCTCTTCTGCCTTCTCCCATCTGTCCCTCTTCCTACTGTGCTACCTGAAGGCCAGCTTTGTTAGGACTGGCTGAAGCAGGTTTCTGTTACTCGCCAAGATTTTGTAGCTTTGGGCAAATCAGTTAACCTGCGTGGAGGTGGGGAAGATTCAAATAGATATCTCACAGACACCTCAAGCACCACACATCCAAACCAACCACAGTTTCTCCCCAAACTGTTTCTTCTTTGTGTCCCCATCTCTGTTTTAAGCAAAAACCTGATAGCCATGTCCATCTTGCTGTCCCCCATCAAATCTATGACCGAAACCTATCAAATTCACCTCCAAAATAGTTCTTAAACCTCAATATCCAGTATTTTGCCTTAGCATTTACCCCAATTTGTACCTGTATGTTTATTTGTGATCTTTTCTGTACAGTAAGCTCCATGAGAACAAGGACCTTGTCTTTTTGCTCATCATTGTATCACCAACACAGTACTGTCACACAGTAGGTGTTTGATACAATTTTATTAAATGAATAGATGCATGGCTAGTCCTGTGCTAGGTACTAGGTGTGGAGGTGGACACGGATTTTAAGATGAGACACACAGTTCTATCCTCATGAAGTCATCTATGTAACAAACATGCACCGAGGCCTTCTAGGCTAGCCCCTCAGCAGGACCGGTGCACAAGATGAACAAGACACCTTTTCTCCCTTCCTCCTTCATCTGGAGGGACCACACATGACAATAAGACAATAAGACTCTGGCGTTGGAGGGGTCAGGTGTAGTGGTATATAATGACCTCTAGAGTCAGAAGAGTCCAGGGCTTAGAATCTAATGATCTGGCTTCCCAGGCCAGCTTTGCCTACTTCTGGCTGTGTGACCACAAGTCTCTTCTCTCTCTGAAGCTCCATCCTTCCATCTTAAAAAATGGGAAATAACAGTACTGTCTAAAAGGGCTGAGAGATACGAACAAGGTAAATGGAAACACTAAGTGCCAGGTTTTACAACAATGCGGGGTGTAGGTGGCTGACCATGCCTCCTCCTTAGCCTGGAAGAGACCGGCTGACACCCGCTGAACCAGGGCAATTAATCATAGCATTCCCTTTCATTCTCAGAAGCGTCCTGGGTTTGCACCATAAACTATGTGGTCATCCTAGCAATAAGTGTGACACTAGAGTTATCTCCCCTGTGCCCTGGAGACACAAAGGTGGGAGGGTGGCGGGGCTGACTGGAGGAAGAGATGCTGTGACCATGGAAATGAGTCTGGAAGTATGCATGTGATTACACCAAATGAAGAGAGATAGGAAAGGCATGACAGGCAGAGGGACCAGCATTTGCAAAGGAAACAAAACTTGGTAATTTGGGGCATGTTTAGATAACATCAAGAAGGCCCAATGGCACTCTCTTTGGCAGCACATACACTAAAAATGGAATGATACAGGGCCACCTGGGTGGCTCAGTTTGTTGAGCATCTGCCTTCGGCTCGGGTCATGATCCCGGGACCCTGGGATCGAGTCCCGCGTCAGGCTCCCTGCTCAGCGGGGAGCCTGCTTCTCCCTCTGCCTGCCTACTTGTGATCTCTCTCTCTGTCAAATAAATAAATAAATAAAATCTTAAAAAAATAAAAAAATAAAAATGGAATGATACAGAGAAGATTAGCATGCCCCCTATGCAAAGATGACATGCAAACCTGCGAAGTGTCCCATATTTTTAAGGGGCACCTGGCTGGCTCAGTTGGTAGAGCATGTGACTTTTGATCTCGGGGTCATGAATTCGAGCCCCACGTTGGGTGTAGAGATAACTTAAAAAAAAAAGGCCAAATGGGTCTATTCTAAGAGGCATGGAAGGAGATGGGGCTGGCAATGGGAACTGTAGAAGGGATTGACATGAGCTGGTGGCTTCACAAAAGAGACCAATTGAGGAATTGGGGCCAAAGTCCAGGCAAGAGAAATAATGAGGCCTGTAGCCAGGTCAGGTTCTCTAAGCACTTTAGAAGTAAACTGGACTTGGATGTGGGGGTTGGAGGACAGGTCAGGGCAGGAGAACTTCCAGGTGAATGGGGAGGTCATTCACTGAAGCAGGTGGGGAGAAGGGAGGGCCAAGAAACCTGGAGACAGGAGGCGACCCAGGTTGGACTTGTGGCATTCACCACTCTTGATCCAGAGACTGTCTCATCTCTCTGATGAGGAAGCTAGGAGCGTGAGCTGGGGATTGCTGTTGGGCACAGTTCCAGCCTGGAGAGGCAAGTGGTCTGAAAACATCAAAGTAGGGAGAAGATTGTTTCATAGGTACAGGGTTTCAATCTGAGAGATAAAAAAGTTCTGGAGATGGATGGTGGTGAAAGTTGCACAAACAATGTGAATATAATTAATGTCACTGAATCCTACACTTAAAATTGGTTACAGTGGTATTTCATGTAATGTACACTTTACCACAATTCAAAGAAGAGGGAGGAGGAGAAGGTGGAGGAAGAGTTGCCGGCAGACAAGCAAAGTTGAAAGCTAGAGGAGGGCAGGTAGCTCCCGGGTGTGATTGGTCTTTGGGCCCAGTTGCTGTAGTACTTGTCTCAAAGAGTTCCATGAGCCAAGAAACATACTCTTTTGGCATAGGTTAGTTCACGTTGGGCTTCTTTTCCTTGCATCTGATGGAGTCCTAACACAGGAACTTTCCATTCTCTCTTCTCTCTCACATCCTTTCAGACATTCTCTACTCCTGTCACACCCTGCTGCCCACATTTCCTCAGACCAAAACTGTGCCTCTCCTCCAGGCTCCCTCTGCCCTTTCCCCTACTTTCGAGTGTCAACTCCTACTCATCCTTGGAAACCCAGCTCAAAGGGCTCTTCCTCGGAAAAAGCCATTCCTGACCACAAGGCTTACCATGCCTTCCTCTATATATGCCTTCCTTTTTGTACATGTCTTTGTCACCTAGTATCCCAGTGACCTGCTTTCTTGTCTGTAACCCTCATCAGGCTACGTTGTTCATCTCCATGACCCTCGCGCCTGACAAACAGCCTAGCACAAAGTATCCTAAATGTTTACTGAACGGGTAAATAGATGAGTAAGAATCCTTCTTTCTCTCATTCCATCTCCCTGAGTCACTACTCAGTTTCTACCAAGTGGGGACATAGAAAAAAAAAAAAAAAAAACGTGGGAGGAATTACTTTAGTCCCTCAATTCAAGGGTGAATGGATCCAGAAGGGAAGAAAACCCAGTAGAAATGGGGCCATTGCAAAGTTCAATGGCATTTATGAGAGGTCAGCTTTCTGCCAAAGTCATTGATGGTGGCAGCTTTGAGCTGAGGCAGTTTGTTTGGGTGCCAGTGCCAAGACAAGCGAACATTCAGTGTGCTGAGCTTTTCAGCAAGCTTGGATCCTGACAGCTGCCCCGGGAGAAGCACCTAAAAGCCATCTGGGTCTGCCGGGAATCAGGGGATCCCCATCTCCTTCAACACAATCTGACCCAAGGAACAAGGCAGCCCTCTCCCCCACCCTTTGTCTCCCCACCACAGGCACACACCTCCTCGAAGGGGGCCCTGCAGCTGATCAGGACATTTGGCACTAAGGACAGAATAAAAAATAACTACAGGGAACCGTGGCTTTGATAATACTGCATACTTACTAGTCCATGGCTCCCCCCTACAATTCCCAGCCTCCCTTGCACTTAGATTAGGCTCGTATGACAAGTTCCATTTCCAGGCTGGAGTATTTAATTGCCAGTGCACAACCCTCCAGCAATCTTTCCCTCATTGAGGCAATCCTGAAAGCCTTGTGTGCAGGTTGTGGAGGCGAGGATGGAAAAGCCTGGATCTCTGAGTTATCCAATGGAGTAGAGGATATGTAACTCGGAAAGTGCCTTGACCCATATCAGGCATTGCTTGAGTGAGAAAAAATAGACCATTGTTAGGTTAAGCCATTGAGCTATTTGGGTTGTTTGTTACCATAGCAAAGCCTAGCCTATTCTGACCAATATATAGAAATTGTTTTAGCCATCCAGTATCAAACCTCCTTATTTGAAGAGAACTTTCCCCCTCCTTATGGTTTTTGCCAAATCCAGTGGTCGCTTCTCTATTCTTTCCTGATTTCTCAGCAGCATTTGTCACAACTGACCACTCCCCGCTGGAAACATTTTACCATGGCTTCTGTGACATCACACCTGCCTGGTTTTTCTCCTCTGACAACCCCTGTTTCTCAGCTTCCTTTGCTGGCTCCTCTTCCATTGTTTTACCTCAAAAGTTTGAAGTTTCTCAGGGCTTATTCCTGGGGACCTTTCTCATGGCTTTACATGAGAAAGACACCTGGTACCTTCCATTATTCACTCTACCCCTCTCTATTAATGACAGAGCCCCTATTTTTAGCTGGGCACGCTGTGTCCAGTTAAAAGACTACATTTCTCAATATAGCCATGGGACTAGTTTTGGCCAATGAGATGTAAGCAAAAATGTGTGGGACTTCCAATGCAGTATCTTAAAAAGAAAGGATGCACTTTTCCCCCTTTCTCCTCTCTGCTTCCAAAGGTGGAACATAACGAGGTGAACTTAAGATTGAAAAGCCAGTGCTGAGTGTAGCAGAGCAGCCCTGGACTGCCTACCCCTGGACTTCTTTTTTTGAAGAGAGAAATAAATCACCGGGTGCCTGGGTGGCTCAGTCGGTTAAGTGTCTGCCTTCAGCCAGGGTCATGATCCCAGGGTCCTGGGATCGAGCCCTGCAACCGCTTACCCTGCTTGTGCTCTCCTCTCTCTCTCTGTCAAATAAATAAAATCTTTTAAAATAAATAAATAAATTTCTATTGTAAGTTATTTTTTT